CAGGATGTCCGGTAAAATTTGCATGACTGTTTAGTTTGGGATGAAAATTATTATACGGCAACCAAAAACGAGCATTGAACTTATTGTACGCTCTTCTTGGTACTCGTCAGGAATGTGTGGTCGGGACTGAAAGCACCAGAAGAAAAAGTTACTTTTCAGTTAAATGGCTGACTCTCAAAGCCTTGAAAGAATGTCTTCGTTAATTTATTTTATCATTGTTAGACGGTTCCATCTAGTTTTTACATACATTAGGCTCCGTGGCCACATTGTTCTTTTGAGATAGTTTCGCACTCTTGGGTTCATCTAAACATAATATTCCAAATGCATGTAGTCATCCGTCACCGTTGGCTGTTTACCTCAACGCTAGAGGCTTTGGCCACCAACCCGAAGGTTGTCAGTAAGAGTCTCAGCAGTAAAAGAAAGTGTACGCAATACTGTGGGGTTGCAACAAGGACGAAGCACGTGTCCAGTGTACATTATCAGTCACTGGAAAAGAACAGGTGAAATCGCAACTAATGAAACGTATAGTCAAAAAAAGTAATTAAATCACAAGCCTTGAACAATACTGGGGAAAATTGGTTGCGATCATCAAAACATAATAACTTAAACAGGTGCTTTTTTCCTACCATCGTAATGGTCTTTTTTCTTTCCATTTTACTGACTTCTATTGAACATACAAAGATACAATTTTCAGGAAGTGGGAAGCGACCAATGAAAGGGCTACCATTCAACAATGGGGAAGTCAGGCGGTGGTGGTTGGATTCGAACACACATCCCCGGGGTGATAATTTGGTGATGTTACCATCAAGCAGCCGGTTGAAGGATTTGGAAAAGGATTACTACTCTTAGGAATATCAACTGTACAAGGTTTTCGTCGACAATTTAAGCATGGTGTTTCATCATGAAACGCAACTATAATATGGCATGGAAATCAAATCTCTTTTGAATTACTTTCGGGATCAATAGTTCATATTTTGAGCAAGTGGCCATTGTGAAGTGTATCTCATTTCTGGATTGAACCATTTGTGTCGAAATGAAGTTCACTGTACTCAAACTTACATGTAAACAAGTAGTTTTACACAGAACCTGTGAAGGTCGAATACATATACGCGCTATGCAGCCAGTTACATAAAATTGCCACGATATATGGAAAAGGTTTGAATGCAAATATGAAAATAAGCCTCGCATCAGGCATGCTATTCACGCCAGTATCGGATCATGTTGGCGATTGTCTCTAGCTGTAGATGCTCACGATTCTCTGGACCTGAGGGGTTAAAACCTTCTACAGCTGCCAGTATTAGGTTGATACTTTCATCATTCAAACCCAGGTTATTCGTTGTACACCTTTTCGTCGGTTTCAGCTATTATCGTCTTGTGAAAATCCAGCCCGACGGGGCAGTCGTTCGAACAGCATTCGTAGCACGTGTCGTAGCCATCGAAATCTTCACAGCGAGAAAAGCTAAAACTTTCTAAAGCGCGTATTCCTCGGCGAACCATACCGTTAAAGACCCGCTATTTACAACGTATTCTGGTGATGCAATGAAGGCAACAGTGCTTAGACACAGCCTCCGATCATCTGCTTGAATGGGCCACGCAGTACAACATTGGTGGCATTTTAGACCCAGTCTTTCAAGGAAAGACTGAGGTTGCATCGGCGCCACAAGTAACGTAGCTTATCGAACCGAGTCTTGCGGATACACACTGACATTAACTGTGTCAGTCCTCTTGAGTTGAAAGAAATCCCAAGACATTTTCGAAGTGGTCGCTTATGAGCGTAGGTGTAAATATAGTCTTTTGCTGTTTATGTAGAAAGAACGTGTAGTTTGATGGAGAGAATATTATTTCAAACTTTGTAACGGACAATGCTAACTTTCATGGGACGTTTGGAAATTATTACGATGGCTTGCAGATTAAAAAGTGTTCGTCTGCGTACTCTGACTAGAGAAGTCGAGCACTTCAGAGAAGCTCCACACCCTCCAGTTTTCGAGAGTGCAGCTCAGGAATTTGTCCATCGCAAAAAATAATGCCGAAGGGGAAGTCGAGCGTTGTTTTTGAACTTCGTCTATGTTGGTGAATGAAGGAGAAATGCGGTCGTAGACCTTGATGCGGTTTGACATCTATGAGCAGACCAAGCTGCGACATTCTACGCACTTCTCAGGCTCAGCAATTCATAACAGACAGGACCGCAGCGCGGGTCTGTTCATTGATTCGAACGCAGCACATGTCTAAAAGATTTTGATGGTTGATCTACGTTTGGTGTTCGAGATTCTGTCTGAATGAATAAGTGGTCGACGCAGCTCCGTTCGGAGAGGAATTCAGTGTATGACTCACGGATGCGACGTTATCTTATCCAACTGGGTCTGCGAAGGATGAACGATGAACTACCAATTTGGAAGAAATGGAAAGGAGCCAAATGTCTCAGTGATGGAAACAATCGAGATGAAGGATCTCCATGAAAAACGTCCGCCAAGTTCCAGCCGAATGGAATAGATTCGGTATTCCAGATAGTTAAGGATAAGAAAGCCCCTTTTCGAACAAGGTTGATCCGTTTGATCCCAGTTAGGTCGATGGATTCGTGCTGCTGATGAAATCGAACCGGGCTGAAACAACCGTACGAGTCTTCCTCGCTTTTCAGCTCACGCTTCATTTGCTATTTCTAAGACGAAATTCACCAAATGATCAAACCAAAATTTCCATCGCTATATATAAATCTTACCTGAAAGATGCAAAACGGATTTCAAACTTGAACACCGGGTAAAATCTGCACGTCGTATCTAAATAATTCGGTGGAGTAATTCTATCCAAAGCTGTACTTCGAGGTAGACGTCTGATTAGACTTTCATACTATGGTGGTGTGAAAAAAGAACTAGTGTTATAATTCCAAAAGGCGCTGCTTGGTTGAGGACAGTCGTTTATTGAGGATTACCGATGGGACATCAGTAATTTGGCATACATAACACAGAAAATCTCATCAGAAACATATCATCGCAGTTCCTGGCCGCAGGGCGGATAGTGAACGTAGCAATCAATAGTTATTCTCTGAGATACAGCGATTCACCCTCTGTGATCTTATTTTTCACCGTCGAAATTAAGCACTATGTTATGTACTACTCACAAGTGAGTAGTATCTCACAACACTAGTAGTGAATGCAATTGACCAGTTACTTGGCACCTTTAATACACGCAACCAACACAATACCTCACGAACAACGATCATTTTAATTGTGACGGTAAAAATACTTATCCGTAAGTCCATAAGTCTGTGATGAGCATGAAAAAGATTGACAACGAAATCATAGATGAAGGAAAGTTATTGAGAAAATTCGAAAAGCGACAAGCATTTAAAAATCTTCAATTAAAAATTAAAAAAGAAAACCTTTGGATTAATAAAGAGTATACCTCTTTGTGCTGCATAAAATTAAACAACAAATGCATCAAACCGACTGAAATCCAGGTAACTGATTACTGGTGTTCGTGATGTACACCGAGTGATACAAGAGGCAACACAGACGTAATAGAGGGCCGAGAATGCTAATCTATTTGACCGAAAGTAATGGTGCAGATCGAATCAATCGAATAAAAACGAACATCATCTAGGAAGCCGAATGGAAAAATGTGAAATTCAAGGATGTAAAACGTTCAATGAGGACAGCCTCAAAGGGCTAATATATTCTTGGCTTGACTTACAAGCAGGCAAGCCGTCAAACCTACGTTGGTGACGTTCTATTAGTTTTAGGTGTTATTCTTGCAGACAATAAATTACCGCTGGTAATCCTCGCAGCAAACATCGTGAGTAGCACAAGGAATCCGGGCTGTGGATTGTATTTGGACTCGCCAGAGCAGAAGTCATGCGACAGTCCACTTGACCATCGGACAGCTAATCCGATTGACTTACTAACCAAAACACGTCATAGGGAAACACATCTTTCCGAGTTCATTGCCATCCTCCAATTTTTCATTTATCAGCAATTTCCTTTAAGGGATCATGAGTCAGTCAGATAAAATTCAAACCCAAGAAATGTAGTTTTAGTTTAGATATATTTCTTCAAGCAAAAGTTTGCGATTCCTACTCGTAAAGAACAAATCGTTCATTACTTAAACATTTTACCTCTTCTTACAAGTACTTCATCACATGGATACCTAGAATGCTTCGGAAGCAGCTCAACCGATGATTAGAGACACTAAGTTGTACGGCTGAGTGTCACAAACAGTGTCGCTCGTGCATCTTCTCAATCACTTTACAACCTCAGTCTGTTTGGATTCTCCATTTTGTACTTCCAATATTCCCTTCACTCTTTCATCCAAATGGATGGCCGAAAGACAGAAATAAAACGGAGGCATCAGATTGTGTGGCTAATGGTTGCATAAGCCGAAACTACAACAGAATGCTCCAATTTCTAAAACTATTTTTTTTCCTTCTAAAACGCTTAGAGAATTTGTCTTTGAAAATGTTTCCTTAATTGATCATTGATGGATAACTTTTCCTCTCTGAAAAGAAGAAGGGGTGGAACTATTACTCACCCTTTGGCACTGAGCGTCCGGGCGGTGGTGGGCGTTTGCGTGGGAGTGCAATATTGGCTAAGCGTTGTCGACGTTCATAGGCACTAGTGAGTGGTTGCTGTGAGGCATAGGTTCTCGACTCGGACGAGTGTCGTGCAAACGTACGATACTTATTCAACTGAGGAGCGCTTCGTTCCGGTCGACAGTCCATTTGTAGTGAAGGACATGTGGAAACCAACAGAGAATACAAAGCGTCCAGCTCATTTTCCCGTAGGACATGCATCTTGTTATCTTTCCGCACACGGAGACTCTGGACAGAACACGAGGATAAAAAGGCAAGCAAGTGTCATAACTAATGACGTGGTTTGGTGAGTAATTTCCTGACGTCAGTTCACTGATTTCTCTCCCAGTGAAAAATGAGAGTAATGTAACAATCTATGCTGAAAAAATTTTAATATCCCCTATAAATACACCCATTTTACCCCCCAAATATCATTTTTCTTGTATAGTGTTTCTGCAAGAGGCTACTGGGCTAAATCCAATAAAAACATCGAGGGAAATGAGTGATCCACGAGCAAACAGATAGATTTCACGGCGAAGGTAGAATAATATCAAGTATACATGCGGTTCGTACGTTATATACCTTTTTTCTCTCAATCTTTGTGTGGACGCTACTGCAGTGAAGGCATTTTTATAGTGTGAAGTGTACCGTATTGCATGCAGCACGTAAATGGAGATTGTTACCACAGCCACTTCACTTGTTGATTACACCCATCTCGAACCAGAGCAATTTCATGCCAAATAGGATAACGTTTTGGAAATTTTTTTCAATTAACTGTACTACTTTAAACAATCATTTTCAGTTGGAGGTACTACCTATTATTTCCTTCTCTACATTATTGTTTAATGTCAGAAAAGTTGTGCATACAGAGTGCGTGTGGTCAGTTGAACTTTCATTAACCTTTAAAAATCGCAACCAAAGGAGGCATAAATTTGACAATCTATGTAGTGCAATTCTCAGACTATGTTCAGACACAAAACACTCGGTTTGGAGTTGGTAGCCCTTTAGGAAACCGTGTGTTGTGCATGATGAGTGAATTGTGTTTGATAGGCACTATTAGGTTGGAGTTCAACAGACTGAGAAAATCTAAACATCCTCGCTTCAAACTGGTTGGGTTAAAAGAAATCAGCGACAGAAATTGACTATCTTAATTTAGCAAAACTCAATACATTGCCATCAATCTTCTCTTCTAGCCGTGTTCTAGCAGAATAATGAGGGGATTTAGTTCATAAAATTACTGCTCATGAAGTTATCGGAACGAAACAGGTGATGTGCCTAATAGTTAAGTCATTTTCACTACCACCGGGTTCAACTACCCTTTCAAAGTGCTAGAGGATGCAGTTTCCTGATTCTGAATGTTTTGTAAAGAAGAAAAACAATTAAGTTCATTTACCGTATCCATAGAATATAGCGTTCCAAGGAACACAAATAATCTTTTTGAGATAATGATATTTTCTTTGTAACTGCATCTGTATACATGTCTGTCG